ACTTGATACATTTGGGATTATTCAAATATGATGAATGGAATCAAGTCACGTGCTCAAGATGGCTATGCTCTAGTGAAAAAGATCAATATCAACATGTTGGCACCCTCACTTGATGAAGATTAGAATACACGGCTTCGGTTTGAAAAGAGCAACTCAAAAGGTTTAAATCCGTTATACTTTTAAATTTGAGTAAATAGGAATGTCGTACTATTAAGAGGGATGCATCATGTTGATAGATAATGTTTCATAAGTGCTCAAGCCAACCCATGTGAGATTTGAATGTTTGAGAGACAAAAGAGCTAACTGACTGTTGCTGGTCTGGCCATATGCATACCGGACGTGTCCGGTATTTGCCCAGTAACTGTAAAAATGTTGTTCTCGGGTTGGTTCGTGGGGAGTTCCGACTCATGTCGGGGGTTCCGACGGTCGAAAGTTCCGGCGCTGGTCGGGAGTTCCGACGTCTCGCACTTTAACTGACTTAGAGGGTTCACTGTCCTGGTCATACTGGACGTGCCCGGTATTCACGATAAGAGGCCAACGGTTAGTTTTCCAAAGCCTTGAGGGTCGGGAGTTCCGACGTGAGTCGGGAGTTCCGACGGTCAGAAGTTCCGGCATGTGTCGGGAGTTCCGACACCTCATATTCTTTAACTCAGTTACATGGTTTTCAAATTTGCTGAGGGTCGGGAGTTTCGACGCATGTCGGGAGTTCCGATGGTCGGGAGTTCTGGCATTCATCGGGAGTTTCGACACCTCACATTGTCACTATAACTTAGTTACCGTTGGGGCAGTGTAAGTCATACCGGACGTGTCCGGTATTGCAACGTCTATAAAACGGCTAGTTTTTCAAGGGGGCTATAAATACCCCAAGCCTTCACCTTTGGAGGCTGCTGATTCTGCTGAGATAGACACATGTTTTTGAGCCTTGCCAACTCTCTCAACCCTCTCTTAGTGAGTGTGTGATCCAAATTGCAAAATCAATTTGTGGGTTAAGAGAGAAATTGAAAAAGAGAGCAAGCCACCACTTGAGCACTTGTGCATATTGTCAATCTCGTGATTCGCATTTGTTACTCTTGGACTCTTCGGTCCTAGACAGCTAGGCGTCGCCGGAGAGCAACCAAGAGATTGTGGTTGCTTCGGAAAGTTTGTAACGGTCGATTCCGCCGCCTCGGAATCATTTAGTGGAAGAAGGAAAAGGAGTTGGAAAAGACTCTGGCTAGAGTGACCTTCGTGGTACCCTCTAGGGCTGACCTTCGCTGGGTCGCCCGTAGCCCCCTCAATGGAGAGTAGGACTCAAACAAGTCCGAACTTCGGTAAAACAAATATCGTGTCTCAATTCGCATTTCATTTGATATTTGTGTTGCTCCAGCTCTTGTGCAGGTTCTCTGTGTATACTGATATCTCTAGTAGGTACCTGCAATTTGGTTTGAAGATAGAAATCGAAAGGAGCAAGTTCGGGGCTGATCTGCAGAAACCATGCTTACCGGACACGTCCGGTATTAGAGCTCTGTGCTGAAAATATTTATTCACAGTTCTAACTTTGTGTTGCAGGGTTGTAGCTTCTAAATACATTCTTTATACCTCGTATACTCTGTGACTAACTTGTGAGGGGTGGTACTACTCTTTATTTGGAGTTTCCATTTTGGAAACTCTCTTTACTAATCGTTTCCGCATTTAAAGGTGTTAATTTTCAGAAACGCCTATTCACCCCCCCTCTAGGCGGCATCCTAGGTCCTTTCAGAGGCCTCCTCGGCCTCGGCCCCATGTCCACACGGGTGGCCAGCGCACGCAGCCTGGGGAGGCGAGCATCCAGCCAACGCACGCATCCCTTCTGGCCTTCCTAGATCTCAAGCTGCTGCTGCTGCTGCATCTCAATCTGAATGTGTTTGCTTTTTTGCATCTGGAAGTGAGCAATGTCGGCTCCTGGTGCTTCAAGTCTCAAGCTGCTGCTGGTTAGTCCGTCGGATTTCGGGGATTCGCGGGTTTCAGTTTCGGGATGGATTTTCACCCTAATCGGTGTTAGGGGCGGATTCGGGTTTTAGGTTCGGGTTTCGGTTTTGGGTGCCCAGAGACTCCACCCGATCCGAATCCGCCCCGTTGCCATCCTTAATGACACATGTCCATGTGCAAGGATTCAAGGTATGGGTTGCTCGAAGAATTCAGTAGTAATTAGAGAAAAATAATTATTAGATATTGGAGACTCGCACATGAATACATATCATGAATTCGCGACAGGTGTCCAAGACTCCCTAATGAGGATGGTCTCCACTCATTTTTTTTCTCCACCACAACACGTGCCATGATCCTCCATGAGCCGTGCCATCCTCCAACTCCTAGGTCCTGAGTTTCTAATCATGCCGCATGGCTCAGACTAAAAATGGCATGCCGCATGGCTTGGACTAAAAATGGCAATGGGACTGCGACATGAGACCTGACGAGTATTTACTCCATTAGGATCCGAATCTAGACTAAATACATCACTCATGAATCTAATTGGGGAAACCTTCACCCAACGGGTACGTGGGTACTAGAATGTTCTATAGTCCCCATACCCGTTAAGCCATGGGTAAAAAATACGTGGAGGTCCAAATATATGTTATGGCCCAATATCAAATTAGTTCAGCCCAAATAAGGCAAACCCTAGGTATTTAAGCCAATCCCTCATTCCATTCATCCATTTTCCACCTCGTCCCTTGATCCCCCTGCTCTTGGCGGCTGCGTGCACACCGCACGAACTCACCACTCATGGAGGATGTAGGGCACGACGACCGCGCGTCCGCACTAGCAAGGTAGGCCACGCCCACAGCTATTTGTTGTGTTCGCCCACCCCTAGCCGCCTGGCGGCCACACGGCACGTCATCCCACCCCTAAGCCATAACTGCTCCTTCTTCCTTCGCCCTACTCCCCAACCATTTCTCACTGCCAGAGCCAGCCGCCATGCCAGGGACCGCGCAAGCGCAAGCCAGTGTCGTCGCATGGTGACCATTTTCTTTGTCTTAACCTTTTCTATTACAGTTTGCAGCGTCTGATTCACACCACTAACTACAGCAAATAAACTGTGGCTATCCTATTTTAAAGGGACATCGGAGTTGAAGAAGCTGACCACCTACAGAAGTCGCTGGATCCGGAGGACACCGACGCTGCGCTCGCAAGATTAGTTTGTCCATTGTTTTGTCTTGTACTTTGGTTTTCTTTACTATGATTCTATCCTAACTGTTGGTTTCCTTTTTTAGTTGATGAGAAGGAAAAACAAGTTGCCACCTTCTGGTCTTGCCTCCAAGATATTTAAGAATGTCTTTAGGTTAGTGCACATATCCAAATTAAACTGGTGTTGGGCCATCCTCGAACTCCTAAGTCTTGAGTTCCTGATCATGCCGCACGACTCATAGTCTCGGAGACCGTTCATTCTGTCAATTATGGATACGCTTTAACCCCGAATGATTGCATGGCGCGACACTATACGAGACTGTATATTAGACAATACCAATATACTTGCCTGCTAAAAATGGAAAAGAGGCTAAAGATCAAGAGTGGAAACAAAGTCTTGGATCAGGTGGGGGACTTTTTGATGCACCCAATCTCCCCCTTAAAAATGTTGATATATGTCAATGATCAATCATGATTACTCAATGCGGCACATATATAGGCCATGCTTGCACTCGCTCCAATTCTTATGCGCTAGCTTGCATAGCATTGCACGAGTTGAGATAGTCTTACCATGTGCGCTAGCTCAGAGACAAAGAAGAAGACAACCACACAAAATAGGTTTATCCAATCCTCATGCGCGAGCTTGCATAATTTTTTTGACAAGGACGCACATGTCATTGTATAAGTTGAGAGATAGTCTTATCTAATGAGCTTAGCTCAGAGACAAGAAGGAAGACAACCACACACACGATGGGTTAATAAATGCTTGACACCGGCACGACCAACCACGTGACAGCCACAGGTTCGGCCCTTCTCCTAACATGCGTTGGTCATGTGAGTGGTGGCGCCATGTCAAGGATCCATCGTGTGTGGTCCCCCTCCTCCTTGTTCTTCCAAGTCGGATGAAGAGCTTGTCTTCCTCCGGGTACCAAACTGGTTCAGCCACCGCCATAGCTGCGGTGCTCGCCAGAGCCGAGCACGATCACTTGTACACGCACGCCAACCCAAAGAAGACGATAGAGGTTTTTTTTGGCATGGCCAACCTACTGCCTTTCCATGACCCTATTTTTTTGCAACATAAATAGGCAAACGGCAAGCGGTGGCCAACAGTCCACGGCGCGCCGCGCGCCATGTTCCTCCGCAAGCTGCGCCGTGCCATCCCCAATGCAATGCAAGATTCAGAGTCCAGACAATGCCGCGGCCACTCGTTCCCGCGTGAACACGCACGCATCCAGCACAGACACTCTGATTGTGATCCCGGTGCCAACGACCGAGTCCGACCTCATGCAAACCAGGAATAGCTACCAAAACAATTTCTTCCTCTTCTTCTGAAAGATCGAATTTCCAAGATAAGGAGTGTGCGATCGAATTATTACACAATCATTTTCCTTCTTCTTCTTCAGAGCTTGCTGGTTTTGTTGGCCTTGGTTGGCCAGGCAGGGGTCACCCACTGGCTCCCTACGGCAACCAGCTCGCCGGAGTCCTTTTTGCGCACCTCCACCGCTGCAGCCGTCAGCTTCCCTTTCCAGCTCACCACTCGCCCCTCCACCTCCACCTCCGTCTGCGATGGAGGCCGGCCGGAGCTAGAGGTGAGCGCTCCAGCTCCAGAGGAGACCAGAGTTGCGGGTACACACACACAAAAATGGAAGGTTAATCTGGACGTACGTCGCGATCGGCCGGCGAGAAGTAGGACAAGCTGTAGTGGACGATGGCCGTGGGCGCGCCCACCACCGTGTGGACCACCGCTGAGCACACGCAGTCCACCGCCGCCGCGATCGCTCCGGCGTGCCACCTCCCCCCCGCGTCCTGCACCCATGGCAAGCCAGGCTCAGGTGCTCCGGGACAAAGTCTAACCATCAACCATGGTGGAGTTCAGGATTTGGACCGCCGGCACGCACGGCGACGGGGGGGCGCACGCGGAGCGAGCAGATGACGCGGCCGGGCTCGGCGAGGGAGACGCGCGCGCCGGCCAGCACCACGCAGCTGAGCGCCTGGCTGCCGCCAGCCGCGCTGGGGCCAACGCCGCCGTCGTACCCCACGCGCGGGTCCTCTAGCCACTTCCTGGCCACGGCCACCTGCCGCAGCGCCCGCGTCTCGCCGTCGCCGGCGTCGCCCATGTCCACGCCGCCGGCTGCGGCAGGCCGCGCGTTTGGAGGCTGGGATCGCTGTTCGCTAAGACGACCTTCTTCCATCTCGCAAGATTTTCTAATGGCCATGTGAACATTAGGTGAAGTTGCTTTGGAATTGGAGTGGCCATGGATTTATCGTTAGGAAAAAAAAAAACAGAACAGTGCACGCGTCGTTTTCAGTCAGCTGTATAAAACGCCATGGCATATCGAACAAAATCCATTAAAAAACGCTGCTAGCAGTGCAACTGAAAGCGACGCAGAACAGAGCTGGGATTAACGCAGGACAGAGATGAAAATTTTCATCTTGCTTGCCAACGCATGATTAAATTAAAGGGGACATCAACACCAGTAACATCTGGAACTGATTTTTCAACGAAGCTTCAGATCTTGCTGATTAATTCTCAAGGAACTGATTAAATTTAAAGGAAGCTTCAGATCTTGCTCTGAGAGCCTTTGGGCCTGGAGGCCGTCATCCACTGCCTCCCGATGGCCACCAGCTCGCCAGATTCCTTCTTCCGGATCTCCACCGTCACGGCCGTCATCCGCCCTTTCTGCTCCACCACCCGCCCGTCCATCTCCACTTCCTCCTGGACGGACAACATTTCAGTTCAGTTCAGTTCCTTTGAAACAAAAAGCCTTGATGGCTTCTGTAATTGGCACCATGGCGATACCACGGCGCCCCCCTGTTATCTGTTACCATCACCGGTCAGCCCGGAATCCATGGTAATATATCAGGTGAGGAGTGAGGACTCTTTTCGTCCCCCGTCGTTCCCATGAAAAAAACATAAATACATGCTGAAAGCATCTCTGCACAAGCGTGCAGTGCTGTTTTCTGAATACATGCAGAGAGTCTGAACTGAATACTACCTGTATGTTCATCAGAGAAAAAGAAGTAGCACTACTCAAACCTGTCAAGAATCTGAAAACGGTGAGAGCGCCCTATCGAACATAATTTGTAAAGGTACAGGCAACTGCTTTGCTGAGTCATGTAACAGAAAACGACTGTGGATTTCTGAAAGGCTTTGGATTCCTTAACAAACTTCGGTTGTTTGGAAATTTCCTTGGAGGGAAACCTAACCACTGCCCTGTTATCCTATTCCTAGGTAGTAGTAACAGGGTTGCTTCTGGGAAACAAACTTCAAAAAGAAGCATGTCTACACGTGATAGAATAGAATGGCCAATCCTATTCCTGCTACCTTACAGGTTTGCTTTCTTGTGCAGAACAATAGCCAAAAGTTGCATCCACAGAATGGTTATAAATAAATAAATACTAGGGAATATTAGCGAAGAACCGTCAACACAGACCTCCTGCCCAACTGTTCAAAGAACAAATGCTGAAGACAAGAGAAGGTGCCCAAAGAATGAAGCATATTCCGGTTCTCTACCCATCTTATTAGCACGAAAAAAATGTGCAGCTAGTGCTAACCAAGTGCTGGGTGCCCAAGAAATTAAAGTGGCTTTACTTGAAAGACCAGGCTCCACCAAATTGGACAATGTAATATGGGTAATGTAGTCCACATATATATAGACCGAGTTTCTGTGAAAGGTGCGTCATGAAAAAGAAAGATATCCCTCTTAACAATGACAACAAGTTTAATCTTCCATCAGAACATTTCGGAGGAGTAATTTCATCAGAACAGGAAAACAAAAGACTTGGATCTGCAAAAACCCCCAATAATCTGCTCTGGTTTTAGAAGTACCTGACAGCAAATTCTAGCCAACCACAGTTACCTAGGGCCGCGTTTAGTTCCCTCAGATTCCAGAATTTGACACTATGCAAAAAGAAGATTCCCCGTCACATCAAATTTGCGGTACATGCATGGAGTACTAAATGTTGACGAAATTAAAAACTATTACACAGTTTGGTTGTACTTTGCGAGACGAACGTTTTGAGCCTAATTAGTCAACGATTGGACAATTAGTACCAAATAAAAACAAAACGGTACTGTAGCTAAACGAGGCCCGAACTAAACGAGGCCTAGATCATACTTCAGAAATCAAAACCAATCTGGTTGCTAAAAAAGAATGCATGAAACTAGTACGAAATGGGAGTGGCTTATCCATGAAGCTTGCTGCAATCACATTACAGCATAGGCTGGACTGGCATCCATGATGTACTCTACTTGACTGGCATCCATGATGTACTCTACTTATTGCTGGGCAGTGACGTGCCATTCATCGCCCACCTGATTGAAGAAGACGACACGCCTGGTAGCCAAATGTTAACCAATGAATCAATGATGTGTGAAGGAGTGTGTGGAGTGGCTACACCACACGTAGCAAACCTCTTGTTTCTTTTCTCATTGACTCGAGTGTTAAAGACACTTGGACACAGACACTATACTAACGTAGTGGGGAAGCAAAAAGAACAGAAAAGATTATTTCTTTTGGCGTCCCGATGAGGGAAAGAAGGCGAAACTGAAAGAAACTGGGGAGAAGACAGTAGCAGGTACGAGGTAGGCAGTGGTGTGTACGCACATGGAGCTTGGCCGGTGTGAAGTAGGAGATGTCGTAGTGGACGGAGACCTTGATGATGCCCTCGGTGGACATGATGGCCGCGGCGCACACGTCGTCCGCCGCCGCCGCGATGGCGCCCGTGTGCCAGTTCCCCTCCGCGTCCTGATCAGAGCCAAGCCAAGAACTTGTCACGCGAGAGCTGGGCTGGGCCTGGGCTACAAGGAAGGAGGGAGGCTGCGAGAGGCACGCACTGTGAGTTGGGGCGGCACGCGGAGCGAGCAGAGCGCGCGGCCGCGCTCGGCGAGGGACACGCGCACACCGGAGAGCGGCAGCGCGTTGAAGGCCCGCTCCGGGGCGTCCTCCGCCGTGGCGCCGGCGTTCTCCAGCCACCTGCGCGCGGCGGCGGCCATCCACGCCGGGGGTTCTGCCGCCGTGCCCCCGCCCATGCCGTGTCGCAGCGTCGCGTCGATCGCGGTGGGCTTCTTGAGCTCTGACCGGATGACGACGCTGCTACCTGACTTGTTTGACCGGGCCGAACGGACGGGGAGGTTTGCAGATTGCAGAGTGCGTAGTGCCGTCTGCCTCGCCCGTCGCCACACGCTCCCTTCCTTACTTATAAAGGCATCCGCCACCGGCCACTCGGCTTGCCTTCGCGTGGGCGGCTAGGCTTCTCACGATTCAGTCTGCAATGACTTCTGAATCCTGCCTGTACTAATTCAGAAGCACACCCCTTACAGCCAGAGGAACTGAACGCATTGAGGAGTCGCGGCTTCACCGGTTCAGGCTCTGCTGTCAGTTTGTTGTCAAAAAAAAAAAAAAACCTCCGGTCAGTCTGTGCATCACAAAATTCTTTAGACAGCAATTATTTTTCTAGCTTGTCATCACAAATCATTGGCCAATTCACTGCATGTAAGGATATTTTGACTAGCAAAAGAGCACATGCATGTCACTGAATCATTCAAATATATTAGGCTTCAATTGACAAGCAAGTCACTGAGTACTGATTATCCAGATATTAGCCTTCGGTTGACAAACAAGTCACTGGAGCAATTCAGTTATGCCATTGCTTGGTGCTTTCTAACAGTAGCAACAAGAGCATAGCTAATCAAGTGCTTAAAACCAACCACCAACTCCTTACATTTGTATTGATTGGCATTGTGACATACTGCACAAAATAATCCTACCACTATATCGAACAATTTAACCTAAAATTGGTTCCCCGAATCTGAAATTCATAAGCATTTTTTTTCTTTTCTTTTTCTTTTTTTCGCGTTCGTACTCTGAAATTGGATTTTCATGGATGTCACATTGCTGCAGTGAAGAATCAGTCTCAACAGCACACTGTCCACCGAACCTACAGAGCAAAATTCAGCCCAAATAAAAAAACAGTCCGGGCGCTCGTTGCTACAGTAGGAAATTAAATTGCTGGTACACACTTACACACTTACCGTCCGAACGGCCGGCGCACAGCACGCCCCCGGGAGAGCGGCGTGGCGCAACCGCGGGAGAACGCGTGCATCCGTGCGCTTTGCCGAGGACGCTCCCGTGTGCTAAAAAAGTTGTCCCTGGCCCAGATCACCTGCGACCATTCTCAGCCCTAAGATTCATGTTGGACGGTAGATACAAGGAGGTAAGTCGTGACTTGGAGAAGCTAAGTCACTGGATCCGGCTCTCTTTCTCTGCCACTCACCAGCCATGCATCACAGGCCACTGCTCCATTCAGTCATTCGGTCATATTTGTCTACTCAACAATAGCACAACTGCAGGCCCACTGTGCGAGAACAGCTTACTATGACGACGTGGCTCTTCGGAGAACCATAAGGCTAATTTTAATGGAGTTTCACGGACATTAAATATGCTGACATGGTACTGTATTAGTGAAGAGAGAGATGATGAAAGTTTTGTGGGAGCAGAGAGAGTTTCATGGGGATGATACTCTTCTACAATTTTTCTAAAATATAAGTGTGTTGAAAACTGAGCCATAAAACCTCCACTAAGACTGACCTAACTCATCTAATATTCAGCCATTCTTTCAAGGTTTCATCAGGGCAACCTGAAGCTCTACAACACCCAGAGACATAACCAGTTGACCTATACCTTACACATTACACAACCACACAGCCCCCCTTTGGTGCTTACACATTTCTACGACACAAGTATAGCCCCACATGTTCCTCTTTCGTGCTTGTACAAAACAAATAACTGTACTGGGTTTTTCCACGGCCACCCGGCATCAGTTCTTCACCTATATACATTCACAAACAATATGCTGGAGGCTACACCTTAGTACGGTAATTGTTGCTCCACCATCCAAGAAAGAGTGCGTCCATCAGCCTGCATGCACCACATCCAACTAAAGTAAGAAAATCTCCATGTTTCATCAAAGTGGTTTAGTTAAACGGGCAAAAAAAGAGAGGCAGGATATTTACCTTGCACAAGATTCAGCAAAGCCCGTCCTCCCTCTATCCTCTACAAATAATAATCACTTCACAAAGTGAAATGTATCAATCTAACTATCTACAACACTCCCCTGTACCTCAAAGTTTTCTCATATACTTATTCGTGTCACTGATTACAGTAAAATCAGCAACGCAGATATCATTTCTCACATGCTTATCCAAAAGGATGCAACGTTTTCCCTTTGCCACTGGACCAAGGTTGACTGGCATTCGTTGTTTTGGAACAGAGCTAACAGAACCCAACCGTTGGGCGTTTCATCTTGCCGAGAACATTCCTAGGTTCAAGGTCTCAGTTTCCTCTTCTGTCCATATCAACAAGCGATGTTGTCCATTTAGACACACCTAGGCTGTATCCAGACTGTGTCCCACAATTCTCAGACCAGTTTGCAATGTCCTCCTGCAGCAACAAACCAAGCACACCAACTCGAGGATGAGGGCTCAAAGGATGTGCAAGTTTTGCTGCACCTGATGCCAAGACAAGTCTTGCAGCGTCAGTGGAACCTTTTCAATTAGGTGGCTTCCATATGATGTGCTGGGTGACTCATTGTACTAATCATGCTGCGCATACTATGAACCGAGAGTTTGTGTTGAAGTTCCATCTGACGCATGTTAGCTCTTTGATAGTTTGTGAAGCCTCGCGTTGTTGATGGATCCACCAGCCCCAAAAGATGTGTTGTATCCATAGGTTTGTTTGGGTAAAGGACAGACTGTCCAGCGATTCTTCGATCGTACAGCCTACAAGTACTAGCCTCCATAGTTAATAATGTGCTTGCAACACTTCTGCCAACCTTCGTAATTGACGATGTGCTTGCAACACTTCTGAAAGTGCAATCAAGCCCTAATTGTGGCTTTTGGTGATAATAACCACGTAATTAGAGAACTAATGAGATTTATCGAGATGACAAGCAGGGAATTTATATTCGAGGATGCTACACGAAACGGAGGAGCCCCCAATTACAAATGTTGATGGCTTCAAACTCAAAGGAGGTTTAAATTCTTTTATATTTTGAATTTGAGTATAGGAAAAGTCATACTATAAAGGGGACACAATGCTTAAGCTAACATATGCTACCAAGTGCTCAAACATATACATGCATCCTCATATTCACAGCCAAGACAGCCTAAACTTCACTCTTACCCTTGCTGTCTTGACAGGTGCGGCATTGCCGCACTTGAAAGAGAGGCACTGCCGCAGTGCGGCACTGCCACAACTTAAGTGACCGTTGGGGCTAAGGGGGTATTATACCCATCCTCTTCCTCCCCAATGGATATCTTCTTCCTCCTACTCATTCCAGCATGCCCAAAACAGAAAACGAGCCCTCTCTCTCTCTCTCTCTCTTCCTCCATTAGTGATCTTGAGCCCTCAAGAATATCTATTGATTTCTCTATCAATCCTTGAGAGAAAATGGTCCAAAACTCGATTAGAGAGCAGCTCCATTGATTCCTCAACTTAAAAGAGCACTTGGTTCACGTTTTGGCCGATGGTTGTGTTTGTTACTCTTGGAGCTTGGCTCTTAGCTGGCTAGAGTGTCGTCCGTAGAGCTTGCCAACTTGTGTGGCAGCCCCGTGAGGTTTGTAACCATCTCTTGAAGTTAGTAAACTCACCCCTCATCTCAAGAGTTAAGTCTCTTGACTTGAGAATGAGGAAGAGTTGGAAAGCCCTAAGCCTTAGTGGCTAACCTCAACAACGTGGAGGTAGGCAAGTCTTGGTGGCGAGCCGAACCACGGGATAAATCATTGTGTCAATTGTGCTTGATTTACATTACTTGTATTTCATATTGTTGGTTGAGGTGATTTCTAGGGTTTCTAGTCGATCTACTTGTGTGTGGTGTTCCTACAACTTCTAGCTCTTGATCTGTGACTATCATATCTGCAGTAGGCTGAGAAATTTCTCCGATCTAAGTTTTCATTCACTGATTTTGAACTATGACTCAAAGTTGTCTGCAGGTGCGGTAGTATCACTGTTCTGGTCCGACAGTGCCACAGTCCGACAGTGTCGCCCTTCAGAGCAGTAGTGCCGCATGGTGAATTTGATAAGAGTTTGAGTGTTTGTTTTGATAGGCCTATTCATCCCCCTCTAGGCCAACTAGAGATCCTAGAACTTCTACCAGCCTCTATAGTTAATGCTGTGCTTGGAACACTTCTCGAGTGAACCTGGCTAATTGCTTCCTTCATGCAATGGTCTACGGCCGCAATTACTAGATTGTGAGCTACATGGTTACCAGAAGCTTCATACACATGAATGGGAGCTGGATCAACTTCTTGAAATTGGTTTTTGAATTGAAAACCATATGTTGATGCTGGTGAATTCCTTGAAGTTGCCTTGAAAGAATCCCACATTACCTTCTTTCCCCCCTTACTGCTCTAGCTCTGATCGGACACTTTAGCAATATGTTGATGATGTGCAAATATTGGTGAGGTACATGCAATGGTTACTTCTTCATCCCTTCATAAATATTGTTATTCATGGACATAATCTAAAATGTCAGGGACATGTAGCATTGGAGGATACAAAATGGAAGACCTTATGACGGGTAATGCATGTACCTGAAATGAATTCTACATCTGTGATTCAGGAAGGTGACCATTGAGAAGATATTGTGTGACACTGTGATAACTTCTATGTATGTAAATCCTGCGGATTCACACTGGGAGCCTCTGTGCTAGATGATGCATGACCCTATACGAACTTCTGCTTACTTTCTAATGCCAAAGATTTCTGGAAATTAGTATTAAGCTCTATTGATGTATCAATGGTACCATCATTAGCAGCAATTTCCGCATAATCAACTGCAACTATCTCAGGACGAGTATTACAGTTTTCCAAAGAATTAGTGGCTTACACACATTCTGCATGCACCATCCGACTAAAGTAAGAAAACCTCAATGTTTCATCGAAGTGGTTTAGTAAAACAGGGAAAAAAGAGAGACATGATATTTTACCTTGCACAAGATTCAGCAAAGCCCTTCCTCTCTATCCTCTACAA